CTCCCTCCCCGCGGAGGCCTGGGCCTGGCGGCCCTGGGAGCCCGCGCGCCTGAGGGGTCCTGACCCGGCGCGGGGAACCCCCCGCGTCCTTGCTCCCCAGCCTCCTGGAGGCCCCTCCTGGGAGGGTCGGCGCCCTGCCCTCTTTCCTACATCTGGAAGTCGAGGCCGGCGTTCCAGGCCCGGCGGGAGGAGCGAGCCCCGAGGCTGCGAGGGTCGGGTCCCGAGTTGGAATCACTTCTCCAAACTTTCCGGGAGCTCCTGTCCCGCGCCCAACTTCTCCGCCCCGGATGCCCTACCCCAAGCGCCCGAACAACGTGGAGTTGTCAGGGCGCCGTCGGTGCGCGGAGCACTGTGCAGCGAGCAGGGGCGTGCAGAAGCCGGGTCCACGCGGGGCTCGAAAAGCTCACCGGGTAGGGTGCGCGCCAAGGCCCCCACAACATTGCGAGGCACTTTACTCGGTGTGCCCAGGGCCGGGCACCCAACGGGGACTGAATGGCTGAAAGAAGGAACGGTTACCGTGTTGAGAGAAGTTAAAATACAAAGCGTAGAGTGCTGGGGGCGGCGTGGGCGTGAGGAAGGCGGTGAGAGCAGGGAGGATGGGGAACGGTCCTTGGATGGAGACTGTTCATCACTGTTTATTGGGCAGCGTAGGTCCTCGTGCTGGACGCTGGGAGTACTGCGCAAGGGGGACACAGAGAGTCCCTGCCCTCCCACTCCTGGTGTAGGAGGTGGGGGAGACAAGGGGGTGACCCGGCAGTTGCACGAGGGTGTCAGTGTGGGAAGTGCAGGGGGTTGAGTGTGGTGTGTATGTGTGTTTGTGTGTGTGTGTGTGTGTGGCAGGGGCACAGGGCAGAGGGGCCCCCCTGGCTTGAAGAAGGTGGGTGCAGCCTAGCACCCAGGCGTGAAGAGGCTTTGGTAACACCACCTGTTGCAGGCAGAGCAGCGAAGGGAGGCCTGGAGGATAGGAGGTGAGTAGTTGAGGTCAGTAGGGCCTGTTTAAGGCTTGTCTTTTT